AAAGTATAAAAGGTATAAAAGGTATGAAAGGTACAAAAGGTATTATCTAGCTAACCGATAGCTCATTCTATAACATTATGACAAGCACTGTCCATCAATATCAGCTAAAATGCATCAGTGTTTATGTTGCTCAGAATGCGAAAAGTACTTTCTAACTTTAAAATTTATTCAAAAGCATAAATTTTAATATTCAAATAATTGTAAATACCAAGGTTCTAATTCCAACCTTTCACTTTTTAACTCTGCAACATATGAAGATTTTGTTTATTCACAAGAATTGTGTAAAGAAATTGAGTTTAAACAAAGTTTTTCTGATAATAAGATTCTTAAATAATAAAGTATGAACTTTTATATTGTACAAATGAATTTTTTTTCCAAAAGAATAAAAAATAAGTATTAAATATAGTTTTATAAAATATATAGTTATTCTGAAAAATTTTTTTTTTTTTTTGATATTAAGGTGACTTCTTTGGCCTGGAGACTTTTTATTAGAGTATAGATGATGTTTTATAATGTAATTACAATGATGGTACATCAAGCCACATGTGCACTTTTGGTGCCTAATTTAAGTTGTCTACCCGAAACATTAGTGCTATGCTAAGGGTTCCACACTATCTGCCATACCTGCACCCAACTATGGGGGTACCCATTTAAACTATCTGGTTCTAACTATCATTATCCGCCCTCTAACCTATGGGTATTACTCACCATTCATATGTGGATTTTGCATCTACCCAATTTGGATTTTGCACCCTACCTTAGGACTTACTAATATAAGCTAGTCTATCCTCGAGGTAAACCTAACAGAGCAGTACACGTCCCACATATGTATTCACCTGCATGTTTCTATAACTTCTTCCTAATTAGTACATATTAACCTGCCATTCTGTATACGTATCTAATGCCACCTTTTGGGGTGCTGCTATTCTATAGCTATTTCTCAAGCACCAACCTTTCTAACTAGGTGTCCATTATGTACTCCTTGCCCTTATTCAGTTCACAACAACCCCGATACCTGCATTTGGACCATCTTCTTACCTGGATTCTTTATTGGTTCATCCTTTACTTCCAGCCGGCAACCCAGAACGGTTGGTCTGCCTAGGCTTTAGGTGTCTGAAGGATGCCCTCTCCTTAGTTTATACTTTTAAAGCATATGCCTTTTTCCTCTGGGGTAACAACCCAGCGGTTCAGCTAGTATGTTCTTCCCAGCGGACCTGGTTGTTCAATTCTTCGATCTCGGGCCCTGGTTCGAATTTAGCTCTCCTGTAGTACCGTCAAAGATCATTGCTACCTCCAAATTTGGGACTTGCCAAATGGGTTTTCAGTTATGCCAGTTTCTTGGATTTATTATGCAAAGCTCCCATTTCTAGATGGTGTGACCAAAGTTACAGATTAAGTTCTAAATCCAACTGATAAGCATAGCCATCAACTGAACACAGGCCTATTTTTCAAATATTGTCACCAGTGGAATTTGAACTCTAGACCTGCCACTTGGAGAGGGTGATGACTAGACCACTACACTAAGTCGCCACACCTCTATAGTTATCCTGAAAATTTTATTATTTTTTATTATTATTATTATTATTTTTTTATTTTTTTTTTTTTTTTTTTTAAACTTCGACGATTTTGTCATT